CTCTAGCACCTTAAATATTCACAAGGACCATGTCACTTTCAGATTGACAACCACCCATTGGTGAAATCCATTCTGTTCCACATGTGCTCTGCCTAGGAAACAGATACAACCCACCGCTGTTTAGCAGGCTATATGGCAAGCTGTGACCAGGCATACTTATTCCTGTATCTCTCCAAAAGAGCAAGAATGTGTTGGCATCACCTTCTGTCTGCTGAATGCTCTTGCTCATGCTCAATTCTGGTCCTCATAATTACACCACCAGTAAAGAAGGCTGATTTACCAAACATAGGACATGAAGAGTAGGAACAAGGTTCAGACATAATGAAAAGAAAACAAGATTCAGAAATTGTAATCCTTCCATTCCCTACAGGCCCCTTAGCCTGCCCCATCTCTTTCCCCTTGCTATGTTTTAATAGGGTGCTGCTTATATTCTCATTAGATGTTGACCTGGTACCTCTTTTGTCTACACTTTTTTTTTTTTGGTACCAGGGATTGAACCCAGGGACACTTGGCCACTGAGCCACATACTTACTCAACCCTTTTTTGTGTTTTATTTAGAGACACGGTCTCTCTGAGTTGCTAAGTGCCTCGCTAAGTTGCTGAGGCTGGTTTTAAACTCATGATCCTCCTGCCTCAGCCCCCACTGGGATTATAGGCATGCGCCACCACATGTGGCTGGTACCTCTTTTGTGAAGCAGCAGCTGAGGAGACTCTGGTACTGGTCATAGCTGACAAAAAGCCCAAGGAAGGAATCAAGACTGAGAACTATGATCATACTAATTTGAGGGTGGTGGGGCAGTATAGTTCTGTGGTGCAGTTTAAGAGGCACAGTAAACTGCTTAGTAAACTACAGAAAGCCTATGTGAATGACAATGTTTGTCAATGAAGCAGATTAGAATGGTGGACAATGAAATAGACACACCTGCACAATTAAAAATGGAGATGGAAGATACAATTGATGTGTTCCAATAGCAGACAGGAAATGTCTACTAAAAAGGGAATCTCCTGCTTTATTCCAGAATTATGTTCCTGCAAACCAAAAATACACTCAGTTAGATTCTACTATAATTCAACTACAATTTGGTTTTACTACAGCTTGACTACTAATGATATAGTTTTCTCTATTTTTATTTCCCCTTTCCCAAATCATTAATGAACATAAATAAATTGTTATACATGCACAAGCATATTACTTTTTTTTAACATTTTAAAAATTTGATTTTAAACTGATACATAAAACAAGAACACTATATATATATATAGGATCTGTGTGATGTTTTGATATATGTATGCATTGTATAATGTGTCAGGTTGAATGTATATATCCCCTCCAACATTTATAATGTATTTTTTTGTCTAAAAAGTAAATGTAATGGTATGTTTTGATCAACATCACGGGGAAAAATATTGGTTCTGTTCAAAACCCTTCTTTGTTAGTGAGTGTCATATTCACTTAACTCTTTATATTCCAAATCATTTTGCTCTATTTTCTTTTTTTTTTTCAAGAATGGATAAATTAAATACTCAGTAATTATTATTATTATTTTTTAATTTTTTATTGTTGGTTGTTCAAAACATTACAAATTTCTTGATATATCATATTTCACACTTTGATTCAAGTGGGTTATGAACTCCCATTTTTACCCCATATACATATTGCAGAATTACATCAGTTACACATCCATTGATTTACATATTGCCATACTAGTGTCTGTTGTGTTCTGCTGCCTTTCCTATCCTCTACTATCCCCCCTCCCCTCCCCTCCCCTCTTCTCTCTCTACCCCCTCTACTGTCATTCATTTCTCCCCCTTGTATTATTTTTCCCTTTCCCCTCCCTTCCTCTTGTATGTACTTTTGTATAACCCTGAGGGTCTCCTTCCATTTCCATGCAATTTCCCTTCTCTCTCCCTTTCCCTCCCACCTCTCATCCCTGTTTAATGTTAATCTTCTTCTCCTGCTCTTCGTCCCTACTCTGTTCTTAGTTACTCTCCTTATATCAAAGAAGACATTTGGCATTTGTTTTTTAGGGATTGGCTAGCTTCACTTAGCATAATCTGCTCTAATGCCATCCATTTCCCTGCAAATTCTATGATTTTGTCATTTTTTAATGCAGAGTAATACTCCATTGTGTATAAATGCCACATTTTTTTTTATCTATTCGTCTATTGAAGGGCATCTAGGTTGGTTCCACAGTCTTGCTATTGTGAATTGTGCTGCTATGAACATCGATGTAGCGGTGTCCCTGTAGCATGCTCTTTTGCTCTATTTTCATATACACACCCACCCCAAAATCCTTGCATATCTTGTCTGGAGGGTTTTTGTTGTTTCATTTATCATTGCAAAAGCAAGTTTATTTATTTATTTATTAATGTTCTGGGAATTGAACCCAGGGACACTGTACCACTGAGCTCTTTTAAAACTTGCGGTTCAGTTGGTAGACCACTCGCCTGACATGTGTGAGGCCCTGGGTTCAATCCTCAGCACCAGATATAAATAAATAAAACAAAAGATTCATTGAAACTAAAAAAAGAAATATTTAAAAAAACAAAAAAATTTATCCCTAGCTTTTTTTTTTTTTTTTTGGAGACAGGATGTTGCTAAGTTACCTAGGTTGGCCATCCTGTTGCCTTAATTTCCTGAATAGCTGGGATTACAGGTATGGACCACCATGCCCAGGAACAATTTTATGATTTTTTTGTATGCAACTGTTAAAATGTAGGTCAATTTGTCTTTAAATAGGGATAAGTTTTTTAAAAAATCTTAATTTCCATACAAGTGTAGCACACCTGTAATCCCAGAGGCCAGGGAGGCTGAGACAGGAGGCTCATAAATTGAAAGCTAGCATCAGCAACTTAGTGAGGCCCTAAGCAATTTAGCAAGACCCTGTCTCAAAAATAAAAAGGGTTGGGGATATGGTTCAGTGTTTGAGCACCCCTGGGTTAAATCCCCAGTTTAAAAAAAAAAAAAATCCTAGTTTCCCTTCAAGTCAATGTCACCTTCTTTAAAATTAAAAAAAAAAAATTAATGAACTGTGACTCAATATCTCAATTTGATTTGAGCCTTTCTGTTCCTTGATCTCTGGGATGGCCTGACTAGTACGGTACTTGGAAACTTCCACTGACCCAAGATAATTTCCTATCCCAGGAAGTATTGCATAAGTGAGATATCATTAAATCCACACAGTCTCAAAGAGGTTAAGTAACTTGCCCAAGGAAACAGCTAATAAATAAGGGAACTAGAATTCATACCCATGATGATACTGTTTCAGTGTCCATGTTTTCACTGAGTTCATTCATTTTTGTATTTTCAATAACCTAACATGATGCTTGGCACATAGTAGACAAATTCTTTGATAACATTAAGTAAATGAATGAATCCTCCTCTTAGTTTATTTGCCATGGGGCCTATGTCTCCATTTCCTAATAGAATTTATTTGACTATTATTTAAAATGAATATCTATAAAAATTTTCACCCAGCATTTAATCTCTACTAGTTGCTTTTAAGAAAGGTTTTCTTTCCCCATTCTAAGCTAGGTTTTAGAAGGAACTTTCAAGCCATATTCAAAGTTCACATAAAACTTCTACATTACTTTACCATACTTCAGACAGCTATTCACAAAACAGGTGCATGCATTTCAGCTTCAATCTACTTAACTCTCTTTCACCTTAATTTTGTTAAACCAAACTATTTTTTCTTTCTGTTGTAGTTATCTTTAGATAACTGAGAGCAGTAATTAGTAATTCAAACAAATTGTTGTCACGGTCAGTAGCCACTGTCTATTGCCCTTACAATATACAGGAGTGTTGCCCTCTCCACCACTTTAATCGTTGGCTTTGAAAAGAGCATGCAGCAGGGAGACTTTGGAGTCTACTACTTTTTAGCTGGATTATTCTTAATTACTTATCCTAAGACTCAGTTTCTTCTTTTGTGATAGGAGGGAAACTGCTATATCTACCTTGCAGTCAAGTCCTGACCATTAAATAATTTATATTTTTTGTATAAGATGCCTGGTGTAGGTGCTGGCATTTTCTGAAAGTTCAATATTATTGATGGTTGAAACATTTTCAAAGAGGTTTCAAAATACTGCCCTGAATTTAGTAGATTCTCCCCTTTCTCCTTCTCAAGCCCAGTTCACACACACACACTTCCCCCGCAACCACTTCCTTTTTACGGTCGCTGAAATGCAAAACATGCCAACTTTTTTCATTAACTTTTAAACGCTGTGACTCCCCCTTCCCTACCGAGTCACATCTATCAGCGCGTTCTTTACGCCTCACACTGTGACACGCCCTCCAGCCACCGGGCAGTCTCTCAGGACCAGCCAAGTCAGCGCAACCTACCGTGTTCTTGGGGCACCACTAGGGCTAGTTGTGGACTTCTGACCTGGCATGCGGGGCATCTACCAGGTGAGGAGAGCCGGGGGCTAGTTGTGGACTTCTGACCTGGCATGCGGGGCATCTACCAGGTGAGGAGAGCCGGGGGCGGGCCAAGAGCGGCTGGCAGCCGGCAGGCACCGGTCCTCGCGCCAGGGGGCAGATGGATTGTGGAGGGCGGGGGCAGGAGGGGCGGGGCCCTGAGGAGAGATGGGCGTGGCCCAGAGGCGCGCTTTGAGTCCTTCCTTGGGAACGTGGGAGGTGAGGCCCGTTCAGTGAGGTGGGGCCAAAGATGGTGGGCGGAGCCCCGAGGCGGGGTGGCCAAAGCCGACCTGAGCAGGAGGCGACTCTCAGTGCAAAGAGGGGGACAGGTCCTACAATAGAGACCAATGTAGTGGAGACTCCCTCAGGCTGCAGACTGAGGGGCGGGGCCAGCTGAGGTAGGCTGGCGACTGAGGTGGGCCGGGCCCTGAAGCGGGGCCGACCGAGGGTAGGGGGTGGTCCCCGAGACAGGGGGCGGGTCCGGCTCAGTGGAGTGAGGCGGGGCCGGCCGAGGTAGGCGGTTCCCTGAGGCGGGGGGCGGGGCGAAGCAGGCCTAGCTCAAGGAAAGTCCCTCCAAGCGCTTGGAAGAAAGCCCAGTCTGCGCAGAGGGGCGGGTTTTGGGGGCGCTAGGCGGGTCGGTCTTGGCCGACCCGCGGGTCATCTGGAGCTTGTCCTAGTTAGGTGCTGGCCTGCCGCACTCCGGCAGCTCTGGCTGAGTCTGCGCGATGGGCGACCCGGAAAGGCCGGAAGCGGGCATGCCCGAGCAGGATGAGGTAAATGTTGCTGTAGCTTCAGCCTCCGTCTGGTGGTCACATCAGGCCTTGCATGACAGGTTGCGGCTGCAACCTGCAAATTGCAGGACCGTTGCAGGGAATTTTGTTCAGTGCTGTTAGAAACCCGGTGTAGGCCCTTGGGGTGCCCTAGCTTCCCCCGGGAAGGGGGAAGAGCGAGCCGGTTTTCCTCTCCGCTAGGCTGCTCAGCTCTAGGGCCAGCCTAGGGCAGTGCTCGGAGGCTTCGGGCTGGGAAGAGGCGCAACCCCTTTGTTTATCCGTCTTCACTCTTCCCTTGTTCTGGAACCCTGGCCGGGAGTCTGAGGCCAGGAAGGGACTGTGGCGCACTGTAGCATCCCCGGAGTGGTTAAAAAGAGTTGGAAAACGCGTATGGAAATTAACACAGATGGATGAGCTGGAAGTGACAGGTGGAAGGGAGATGGGAAATCTTCATAACAATGAAAACAAATTAGATTAGGAGGCCAGATTGACTCACACCGAGCTACTTAACTGTGTATCGCTGGAGTGCCAGTTTCTTCATTTAAACAGTGGCAGGGATGCGTTCCTCACAGAAAATAAGTGCTTTATGCAAAGTCATAGGTACTTAATAAACCCAAGTTAACTTGCTCATCTTCTTTGCTTCTATACTAATAGAAGTACGTAAAACAGTAAAAAAAAAAAAAACAACCTGGGAGTTAGTAGATTGTAGGGTTGTATGGTAGTTTAAATGGTTGGTTGCTCTATAATTTGCATACCTTTTTTTTTTTTGCAAATACTTCTAAACCACTTGAAATGAGAGAAATACTTCTTGTACTTGATCTTACTTCTGTGTGGAGTCTTAGACTTAATATTGTAATGATATGAAGAGAACATGAAAGTCTCAGTTTGCTGCTTAGCCCTATATTTTTTACAAAGTTGTAGATTCCAGGTTTGAGATTTCATTTTATTTTGATTTTGCAAACATTTGATTACTAGCAAGTTGTAAATAAGTCTTGAAACAAACACATTCTCCACTCCTGGAAAAACTTTGGTGTTTTGTTAATGGCACCTGTAGTCATGCTGATCTAACACCTGGGCAGTGTTTTTTTTTGTTTGTTTGTTTTTATATATTTATTTATTCATTCTATTTTATTTATTTATTTTTTGGTACTGTGGATTGAACCCAGGGGCATTCTACTACTGAACTTCATCCCCAGCCCTTTTTATTGTGAGATGAGGTCTAACCAGATTGCCAAGGCTGGCCTTGGAATTTGCAATTATCTTGCTTTAGCCCAGCCGATTAGCTGGGAATAACAGGCCTATGCCCAGCTGGAAGTTAACCTTTCTATTACAAAGGTAGGCAGAATTTTATTGAGCATCTTAGTACAAAGGTTTTTAAATTGACATGCAAAGATTCCTAAAGTATTTTCTCAGATGTGTTAGTGAGGCGTGGACCATCTTCTTGAATCACCTGGAGTACTTTGTAAAAATGTTAATTACTGGGCCCTCACTCCAGATCTAGTAAATCAGTTTTAGGGTGGGTCTGCATTTAGACCTAAGAGTGCTGAGTTTACAAGCACCTTAGTGTTCCTAATACACCTATTTTAAGAAACACTGCCACTGGGCATATTGGTGCATGCCTGTAATGCTGGTGATTTGGGAGGTTGAGGCCGGAGATTGCAAGTTCAAGGCCAGCCTCAACAATTTAGTGAGTCTCTAAGCAACTTAGACCCTTTCTCAAAATGAAGAATTAAGAGGGCTATGGATACAGCCAAGTGGTTAAGTACCCCAGGTCATGAGAAATTCTCAGAGAAGGTTCAATCTCCAGTACAAAACAAAACCAAAAAACCTTATGAATAAAATATGACTGTGACAGCATCTGAGTATTCTACTGGAGAAGAAGAAGAGAGGTACAGGCAAACACCTGGGTGTGGTGGAATTAGAGCTGGCTAGGAGGTAGGGGCCATTAGAATGCCAGCCTAGATCAGGACATAGTAAGTGCTTACTGGGGAATCTTTTCTTAAAAAAAAAAAAAAAGTACATAATAATTATATATAATAGTGGAATTCATTGTGACATATTTATACACGCAGATAACATAATTTGATCAATTTCATTCCCAGTACTTCCCCTTGAGCTCCCCTTCTCCATGACCCCCTGGTCTCTCTTCTATTTTCAAGAGATCTTTTTTTTTTTTTTTCCCTAGCTTCTACATATGAAAACATATGACCTTTGACTCTCTGAGCCTGGCTTATTTTGCTTAACATTATGCTCTCTAGTTCCATTCATTTTCCTAGAAATGTCAGTTTCATTTTTCTTTATGATTGAATAAAAAAGCTCCATTGTGTATATATATTCACATTTGTTTTCTCCATTCATCTGTTGACAGACTCTTAGGCTGGTTCCCTGACTTGGCTATCATGAGTTGCACTGCTTTAAACAGGGGTATGCATGTGTCTTTGTCCTATGCTGACTTCCTTAGGATAAATACCAAGAGTGCTATAGCTCAGTCATATGGTGGTGCTGTCACCAGGGGAAAAAAATATCTCTGGAATAGAGTCATTAGAAATTCTCAAAGAAGGGGCTACTCAACTCAGGACAAGCAGGGTTCTTGACCTATGCCATAGAAAAGAATTTCAACATGGCATCAGTATAGGCACAGAATTTTATTTAGGAAAGCAAGGAATACATGCTCAAGGGAGAAGGTGGGCCATCTTGAGAGTGAGAGAAGTGTTTGGGGATAAAGAAAGAAATAGACTTTCAAATTTTGAAAGTGAGAAGCTTTAGGGGCAAAGTGAGCAATGTACATATTCAAGGAAGAATATGGCCATCTCCAGAGGGAGAGACAGTAACCTCTTAGTCTGTGGTACTATTTATAGAGGGGCAGTAACTAGGGGCTGAATTAATGGTAGAGGCAGAGCTAAGTTGCACAATTTTGTGTCAGTTTTTCTAGCACTTGTACATTGCCTTCATGTTACTTTTTGCAGGCAAATTTATGGGGTCAAGGGCGTGGTCTGAATTTTTTGCTTTGTATTCCAGAGGTTTCTAACTGTTTTCTTGTATTCCAAAGGTTCATGGGCCCTTCTCTTTTGAGACTCAGTATATTTTTATTTTTCTGTATTATTAAATTTCTATCTCAGTTCCAATCCTAGTCTTTTGAGGAATCTCCATACTGATTTTCATAGTGGTTATACTAATTTACATTCTCTGTGTAACTGTGTCTGTGCCCTTCCCTGACTTCCTTGCCATTGCTGGGCAATCTTGTCCTGGCATGCCCAGATACCTCTTAAGACTAGATGGTCAGAAACTAAGGCAGAAGAAACTGGAAGTGCTAGTTTGCAAAAGATAGTGGAATATTGCTGAACTATATTTCAAATTCTTATCACCTTACATTTTTATAGCAGCACAATTCATAATAGCTAAACTATGGAACCAGCCTAGGTGTCCATCAGTGGATGAAAAGATAAAAAAAAAATGTGGTATATATGCATATTGGAGTTTTATTCAGCTATAAAAAAATGAAACTTCATTTCTAGGAAAATGAATGGAACTAGAGACCGTTATGTTAAATGAAATAAGTTAAACTCAGAAAGTCAAGGTTGTATGTTTTCTCTCATATGCAAGAAGAAAATGGAAAAGAAAGGTGGGCTTTTTCTCATGAAAATCAAAGGGAGATCAGTAGAGAAAAGGGACCAAAGAGTGGAAGGTAGGGAGGGTGTAATTGCTGGGGAGCAATATTGGCCAAATTATATTGTTATATTTTGTGCATGTACAAATATATAGCACAGATCCCATTATGTGCAACTATAATGCATCAATAAAATAGGTGTGGAAAAAATTTCCATCACTTCTCACTTGTGTAGCTACAACTTAATTATCTCTCTACTTCTAATCTTTTGTTTGTTTTTAAAATTAGGTATATATGGCACAGAATGCATTTTGATTCATTGTACACAATTACAGCACAACTTTACATTTCTATGGTTGTACATGATGTAGCGTCACACTGTATGTGCCGTCATAAATGTACCTAGGGTAACAGTGTCCATCTCATTCCACCATTTTTCCTGCCCCCATGCACCCTCCCTACCTCTCCCTTCCCTTTGCCCAGTCAAATTTCCTCTATTTTCCCCATGCCTCCCCACTTCGTGTTATGGATCAATATCAACTTAACAGAGAGAACATTGGACCTTTGGTTTTTTGGGATTGGCTTACTTTGCTTAACATGATATTCTCCAACTCTATCCATTTACCTATAAATGCCATGATTTTATTCTCTTTTATTTAATTAATTAATTTTTAAAAAGATTTATTTATTTATTTTTTTAGTTTTCGGCGGACACAACATCTTTGTTTGTATGTGGTGCTGAGGATCGAACCTGGGCCGCACGCATGCCAGGCGAGCGCGCTACCGCTTGAGCCACATCCCCAGCCCCTTTATTCTCTTTTAATGCTGAGTAATATTCCATTGTGTGTGTGTGTATACACACACACACACACACACACATATATATATATATATATATATATATAAAAGTTTCTTTATCCATTCATCTATTGAAGGGCATCTAGGTTGCTTCCACAGTTTAGCTATTGTGAATATGCTATGAACATTGATGTGGCTGTGTTACTATAGTACGCTGATTTTAAGTCCTTTGGGTATATGCTGAGGAGTGGGACAACTGGGTCAAAGGGTGGTTCCATTCCAAGTTTTCTGAGAAATCTCCATGCTACTTTCCTGATTGGTTGCACCAGTTTGCAGTTGCACCAGCAGTGTGTGAGTGTGCCTTTTCCCCCACATCCTCTCCAACATTTATTGTTGTTTGTATCCTTGATAATTGCCATTTTGACTGGCATGAGATGAAATCTTAGAGTAGTTTTGATTTGCATTTCTCTAATTATTAGAGATGTTGAACATTTTTTCATATATTTGTTTTTCAAATGTATCTCTTCTGAGAAGTGTCTGTTCAGCTCCTTAACCCATTTATTGATTGGGTTGTTTGTTTGTTTGTTTGTTTTTTGTT